TACAGTATGTGGAAAATAATGTGTTTTTTGAATTTTAAAGCGCATAAACACATTTCATTACACCAAATACACAAAATAATGTTCTTTTTAGCAACATCATATGACCCCTTTAACGAACATATTACACTATTAATGGCACTAAAGCTTCCACTACTCCAGTACGTTAAGAATTTACTTTGATACTTGCTAAAGACAGAGTAAACATGCAAATCATGAACAAGTGAGATCCAAGGGCATTTTTCAGGACTTTTAAGAAACAATAATCTAGGTTAATGATTAAAAAGAACACGTGTTAAATTTTATTTCTCGAGGATCTTTAGAAATCAAATTCTAGATATATACGCCTTTAAAGTTTTGACTATAAAAGCTGTCGAACATACAGCGTATTGAAAATGTTTCCGTAAGCTGTGAGAATGGAACTTGATTATAGGGTTTTCAGCTAAATTGAATCAGTAAAGCTCAATCAAAATATTACCTGAAACAGCAAATATGTAAAATTCAACTAATTGAAATATCAAGCCACTAATCTGGCAAACAAATAGCCTTTTACTGTCATTACTTTTGTCGATTAATTCCACTTATGTTTATTTACGTTAATACGATTCCACCTAACTGTTCAGTAACATACTGCATTTTTTGTGCTTCTGGCTTAACTGCAAGTTTTATATCCAGCTTAATAAAGTTATTAGTATGCAATTTACCCGAGTCATGTAAGCTACACATATTTCGTACACATTTTAAAAGGTAAACTGTAAATGTCAGTGACTTTCAGGTAAGTTCAGAACTTTCTGAAACCGTTTCATGTTTACAGGTGCAGTATTAGGTTGAGAGGCAATTATGGAGTCAATATAATGCCACATATATATGCTTCAGAGTTACTGCTAGTTTTAATGTTAAAGAATGCAATTAACTTCATAAACTAACTTACATCATTAAAAAGGTCTACGACTCAAGCTTCATATCGATCTCGACTTCGTTTTTCATTTACATAACTCCTGGCAGTGGCGTAACTACAGGCAGTGCAGCCGCACTGGGGCCCGTGCCCACATTGCAAGCGATTATATTGATATAACTTAATAATAAACGTATTAATAATAAAACACAATTAGTACCGTAATGCGTAATGTGTAATACGAAAATTCGCATTAAGTGCTATCGTGTTGTAATGGTCTAGTGGCAGAACTTTTGTCACGCATTTCCGAGGTTCTGGGTTCTAATCCAGCCTCGTGTCGTTTTTTTTTTCTCTCATTAAAACCAAAGGTGTTCATCAGTGATTGTATATCAAGAGAAAGGACATGTTTGTGTGCATTTTGTTTTGTGCTTTTACCAGAACAAAGCGTACGATCGTCTGTGTGAAGACTGCGCACGAGTGCCAAGAGAGAACCGATAACAGCAGCAACGAGCGCTCGAAACTACGCAAATTATTCATTTATAGCTGATCATAGCCTATGTTTGGTCAATTTAGCCTTCTCAAATCATCACGACTTGTCTAAAATAAAATCTATAGATATAAAACAGTTCAAGCATATCATAATGTTAGTTTAAATGTTTAAACGATATAAATGTGCGCTATTAGGCGCATATCTAATCGTTTGTGTGAAGAGTGGAAGCTGAAGGCGCTTTGCAGGACACGGAGGCGCCAGCGCCATCACTCACTTGCATTTGTTTCTTGATAGTGGAAACAACTTAAAATACGCCGTCATTTTTGCTAAACACATTTCATTACACCAAATACACAAAATAATGTTCTTTTTAGCAGCATCATATGACCCCTTTAACATTAAAACTAGCAGTAACTCTGAACTCATGTAAACAAAGAACGCTTCTGCGCTGGCGTCCTCCCACAGGTTGAGATTTTAAACAAACACATTTAGTTAACCAAATGAAACAATACACATTTTAATGCTATAAAAGTGTGCACATTGAGAGAAGTAAACAGCAGATGTTCATGTTAACAACTTCTTTAACTTGACCAAACACTGCTAATACACATATACATTTATTAATAAAGTTAATAAAACGAAAACATGCATGTTTTATTCATTTATATTTTGCAATTCTTTATTTTTGTTTGCAAAACTTATTTTTTTCTCGCAATACTTCATTTTCTTTTGCAATTCTTTATTTTCGTTTGCAAAACTTTATTTTCTTTTGCAAAACTTTATTATTTTGCATATATATGTGGCATTATATTGACTCCATAGGCAATCATTACTTTTCTGCTTTGTAATCTACTGAACATATCGACCAATATCTATTACATGTATTTATCTATAATAATAAGTCGTGCAGCGACTTCTTCAGAAAGCACTCCAACTTTCAAACACAATGAGTAAACCCAGAGATCATTTTATTTTTAATTGTAATACATTTATTTGAGCAATATACAATATCAACACATCAAATACTAGGAGACATATCAGGTCACAGCTTTGGGGGTCCTGTTAGTCTCCAGCCTTCCTTTTTTCCAATCTTGGTGAACATAGCCAAAGTTCCCAGACCAAAACAGGCTGTGGTACCTGTGATAGCACTGTGTGCTAAACATAAAAAAACACCAGCAAACCTCTTTATAGACTGTTCTTTAAAAACAAAAAAGACACCAATGACCAATGAAAAACATGTGATTATTGTACTTACTTCGAGCCCCGAGGAAAATACCCGAAGCACATCCACCAATGAAATAGTTGGTTGGGTCGTCAGGTGCATCTCTGGCCTGTGCGCTTAGACAAGTGGCCATTCCAAAGATGGCGCCCATGGCGGCTGAAAAGGTAGCAAACAAGAATAAATTACTGGAGCAAGTGTGTGTTGCCATCTGATATACCGGATTTTAACTAAAAAACATTTCATTAATGTATCAACTGTTCTGACATGTAACAACAAGGCCAATACAAGCAACTGTAAAGACACTATTTTAACTTCTATTCAACTCTGTACGATAAAGGTGAAGGTGCACTTAAGGCTAAAGCTGAATCACAAAGGCTGCATCCCAAATCGCACACTTCCCTACTATATAATAGGCGAAAAAACCTTATGTGAGAATAGTAGCATGACTTAATTCACAGCATTCAGTTGGCAAAAAGTCCCATGTGTATATATAACCACAAAATGTATAATAGGAAATGGGAGAAAAGAAATTCAGAAAACTTTTAGCATCATATATATGTGTGTGTGTGTGTGTGTGTGTGTGTGTGTGTGTGTGTGTGTGTGTGTGTGTGTGTGTGTGTGTGTGTGTGTGTGTGTGTGTGTGTGTGTGTGTGTGTGTGTGTGTGTGTGTGTTTGTAGCATTGTAAAATTAATTTCACAACATTTAAGCACACTAATCCCACCCATTTCTTATATAAGAAATATAATAATGTGAATAATAGAATACACTTTCATACACTTTTACCATGATTTACAGAAGACACCCACATATTTGGACATTTGGACAAAGCAGACACTTTAATTGCATTTATTATTATGCTTTATGTATATAAAATCACTTTTGTACATTCAATTTGATGCAGACACCAAAATGGATCATCTCAATTCTATTTTTTCCGTTTTATTTAGTCTTACCCATGGTGGCAGTGCCTGACGTTGCTCTGGTCAAAGCCTCAACAGCTGTTTCAGGTGGATATGCCACAATGTGGTAGGCAGAACCTACCAGCCCTGCAGAACAACAGCAGTAGCAGTATTAAAGCTTGGCTTTATAAAGCAGGCCATGCCTAGTGACATCTCCATAACCACTTTTCTAGTTCACTAGTCATTATGACAACCACACAAAAATATCAGTAACGTTAGGCATGAGACAAATAAACAATTGGAAAGTGATAGCAGCCCTGGATGTCATTTTGCAATCAAAACCCAATGCACGCGGATCCCAGAGCACTTTATAGTTAAATAAACCAACCAAAAAAGTAAAAAAAAACATGAAAACAAGACTGATGAAAATAGTGCGCTGATATGTTGTTCACTGTCCCTGCTAACAGCTTAGCCTGTAGAGCGCATAAGCAATGCACATTTTAAAAACTACGCTCAAAGGATCCGTTAGAAACCCTGCAGTCCAGATATCCAGCAGACTAACCGACGGCAGTGGCTACTTTTGTGGTGATCCATGTTTTAGCAACGCAGTCTTTGCCCTCTTCTAGATCCCAGTAGCCCATTTCTGCATCAAGGACGCGACTGGATTATCGCGAGAGTTCTTCTTCTTCTTCTTCTTGTTTGGAATGTTGGCGTATTCCGCCACCTACCGGTTATTTTCTTACATGGGTGATAGTTACACTTCGTCTTTTATTTCGGGTTCACACGTTGCTGCATTTTGTTGGGAACAGCTTGTGTGTTCCCATCTATGTTTTTTTTCTGTTTCCTTTAAAGTTCTCTATCATTTTGATTCTCTTTATATTTCCTACATTTTAATATAGGATGTTCAACTACAATTACCCCACAAAAGGCATATTGACCTGTATTATGCTTAACTATGTATAGTGATGCATTTAGTCCTGTGTGTCTAGTTTGTAATCTTGTTAAAATCCCCTCTTCTTTCCTACATCTTCCAAAATTGTATATTCCCTTGACTGATGAAGTAATTTTATGATAAAATCTTCCTGTATCAGCGATATCCCATTCATTTGTCCTAATCCTAATGGAACTTATATACTTATAGACTTACAGTCTTATATCCTTTTTGTGTTGCCTTTTTTTGCATACTGATCTGCTATTTAATTTCCATTGATTCTTGAGCTGGTATCCAGCTAAATTTAACATCACCCCTTGTGTCAGTATTTTGTTGAACCACCTTTTGCTTTAATTACAGCCTCCTTTAGTCTCTTGGGATATGTCTCTGTCTCTACTAACTTTGCACATCTAGACTTTACCATATTTGCCCACTCTTCTTTGCAGAACTGCTCAAGTTCAGTTACATTTGATGGTGGCCGTTTGTGGGCTGCAGTCTTCAAGTAATTCCACAGATTTTCAATGGGGTTTAAGTCTGGGCTCTAACTAGGCCATGCAAGACATTCACCTTTTTCTCCTTCAGCCACTGTGTGCTCAATTTTGCTGTGTGCTTTGGGCAGAGCCGATCCTCCCTATATGCAAAATACGCAAGCTGCGTAGGGCCCCCGAAACACCAGGGGGGCCCCTTGCTCTCAAAGATGATTTAATTTTATTTTTTTAGTAAAGATTTAGTTTTGTTTTTGAATCCTCCCTATACGCAAAATACGCAAGCTGCGTAGGGCCCCCGAAACACCAGGGGGGCCCCTTGCTCTCAAAGATGATTTAATTTTATTTTTTTAGTAAAGATTTAGTTTTGTTTTTGAATTCGGCCAGTGGTTATGAAAACATGAATGATAATTTCTTTTAATGTGGTGCGCTGTGGCCCTTTCTATGTAAAAATCAGTCAAATCATGTAATGTGAATGTCGTACAGTCTTGCTCGAGACTAAAAAAACG